CTGGAACCATGGGCCTCTATAACAATCCTGGTCCGTAAATCATCTATATCTGGTACGCATAACCAGTTCTGGTATCTGAGTATGCCATCATCTCCCAAAGCAAAGGACTCGTTCATTTTTAGCAACACTGAGTCCTTCATCTCTATCAACACAGGATCAAGATGCTGACCCTTTTTGACTTCCACTATCAGGGATGATTCAGAACTAGGTTGAACTGAAATACCTCCACTAGTAGAGTCAACCAACCACACACCCAGTCTGGCCAGTCTATGTACCTCTTTCACTAGCTCCTTCTTCTCATCCTCAACGTGGGCTGTACTCCCCATGCTCATCCTACTCAAAGCATCAGCCACAACATTAGCCTTACCTGGATAGTAGTGCACATTCATGTCATAATCCTTCAGCAGCTCCAACCATCTGCGTTGCCGTAGATTCAGCTCCCTCTGCGTGAACACGTACTGGAGACTCTTATGATCCGTGAACACATCCACATGTACTCCATACAGATAATGCCTCCACAGCTTCAACGCAAACACCACAGCTGCCAACTCCAAGTCATTAGTGGGATAATTCTTTTCATGAACCTTGAGCTGTCTGGAAGCATAAGCTATCACCTTACCAGCCTGCATAAGAACACATCCCAAACCAACCCTAGATGCATCACAATAGACAGTGTAATTCTCGCCACTCTTAGGCAGATTAAGCACCGGGGCTGAAGTGAGTCTGTCCTTGAGCTCCTAGAAACTCTTCTCACAAGTATCCGTCCATTCAAACTTGGATTTCTTCTTTTTCAAGTTTGTAAGTAGGGCAGCAATGGAAGAAAATCCCTCCACGAACCTGCGGTAGTAACCAGCCAATCCCAGAAAGCTATGGATATCGGTGGGTGTAAGAGGCTTTGGCCACTTCTTAACGGCTTCAGTCTTTCTGGGGTCCACTTCTACACCTCGATCGGACACAACATGGCCCAGGAAGGTCACTGATCTCAGCCAGAATTCACACTTGCTGAATTTGGCATACAATTGATGTTGTCTAAGTACCTGCAAGGTTAGTCTCAAATGTTGTGCATGCTCTTCCTTGGTCTTAGAGTAGATGAGAATATCATCAATGAATACTATGACGAAAGAGTCAAGGTATTCACGGAAGACTCTGTTCATGAGGTCCATAAATGCAGCAGGTGCATTCGTGAGACCGAATGACATAACCAAGAACTTATAATGACCATATCGGGTACGAAAAGCTGTTTTTGGGACATGCCCATCCCTAACCCTAAGCTGGTGATACCCTGAACGAAGATCAATCTTAGAGAAGAAACTAGACCCTTGGAGCTGGTCGAACAAATCATCAATTCTGGGAAGTGGATACTTATTCTTTATAGTGACTTTGTTGAGCTG